CAAGTTTTAGTATATTTGTTAACAAGTTTTAGTATAATTGTTAACAAGTTTTAGTATATTTGTTAACAAGTTTTAGTATATTTGTTAACAAGTTTTAGTATATTTGTTAACAAGTTTTAGTATATTTGTTAACAAGTTTTAGTATATTTGTTAACAAGTTTTAGTATATTTATTAACAAGTTTTAGTATATTTGTTAACAAGTTTTAGTATATTTGTTAACAAGTTTTAGTATATTTGTTAACAAGTTTTATACTAACAATTTGTTAACAAGTTTTAGTATATTTGTTAACAAGTTTTAGTATATTTGTTAACAAGTTTTAGTATATTTGTTAACAAGTTTTAGTATATTTGTTAACAAGTTTTAGTATATTTATTTATTTTTACAAGTTGCACTGTTTACCTAACAATTTTTTTGTTTTTTGTTTAGTAATAAAATAAAAGTTGGTGAAATTTACGGACTTATACAACAAAATAAGTTTTAATTTTCATTACTTCTCTCAAAATGATAATACTCATTTTGGTAATGAAAATTGACTAGCTCAAGATTTTCAATACACCTACGTACATTAAATGCTACATCATCAGTTAATAAAGTTGGGAAACCATGTTGCTCTTTTGAAAAAGGTTGTAACATAACAAAAGAATAAGCCTAACAATGTTATTAATATTTTATTTATTCATAAATTACTTTATGCAGCAAAATTTAAACTAAGAAGTGAGTTAAAATACAAAACTGGCACAAAAATTTCTGATATTTGAAATAAAAACGCCATTTAACCTGCTTCGATATATTCAAAAACATTCAAATAGGTGGCTAGCCAGTACAAATACCACTAAAAGATCTTCTAAAACACTCTTTTAAAAAGGTATGTAATATACAAACTACTGTGCTAATTACAATGCTAAGGAATTAACTAAACTTACGTTTAGATGCAACAGCGGCGGATTAAGACTTTTTGGGGCCCAGGGCTATTTTTGTTTTTGGAGGCCTTTTTATGGGCAAGAGCCTAAAAATGACTTAAAAAAAAAAAAGTCCTCTAAAATTGTTTGAGGCCCCTAACTTTGCGAGGCCCGGGCTATTACCCCCTAGCCCCCTTGATGCAGCACTGAGATGCAAGGCTGGTTTTGATGGTGCTACAGAATATAGTGTTTACAAACAGGTAAGTCAAAATGAAAATAGTGACGATTGAAGAGTGTCTATTGATTATTTGTATAGTACATTTAGAACTCAATTGACTTTATAATAATAAGAACGTTGTAATATTATTCACACCGAATCACCCCGAGTTGAACATATCAAGGGTTTTAGTAAAAAAAAAAAAAAGATCAAAATAATTTTGTCCACCATATCTCTAATATCCGGCCCACTGTGCGGCGTTTTGAACATGACGGAGGAGAGCTAAGCCTTTTATAGCCGTGTATGTTTTTTTATAAAAGCAATATTTATTTTTTTAAAGAGCTCATATATACATATTATTATACTATAAATTTAGTAAAGTTTAGTATTTTTGATATTATGAAACAGAATTTTACAAATCTTTAGAATATTATGGGTGAATCTTGGGTAACACAGGGTATCCCCTAGATCCGCCTATGTTACCCCAATATAAAAGTTGGTTTTGAGCGGTTTTGCTCACCTCTGGCACTTCTATTTTTCTTTTTACTTGAACTTCATATGAAACTTTTTTTTTGCTTTTGTTTGCAATAAACAGAAAGAATAACAACTAAGTACACAGTTATGTTTTATATTAAATCAAAGATTTTATATATACATATATATATATATATATATATATATATATATATATATATATATTATATATATATATATATATATATATATATATATATATATAAAATCTAAACCTGTGAAACGACACACCTTATTTTTGTCGATTTGTGCATCCGCATGAATTGCACAAAATAAATATCTCTCTGCAATTTTTTAAAAATAAATAGATGCTCCTCAAAATTTAACAGCTAAAGCCTTTTTGAAAAATTAAGTTCAGTTATAAATTCCTATGCAACGTTTTCAGAATTCGCCGTACCGCAAGATGGCGGACGCTGGCTTCACTTTTTAACTTAAGTCGCGCATCTTGTTATATTTATGCGTCATTGGTTAAAATTCGATTAAAACTACACGCACTGTAAGCACTGTCGTTACCGCAAAAAACTGCAAGCTAAGTAATTGCTAAGTAAACTAATCAAAATGCAATTATTTTTGATTGATCAAAAAAAAAGTCGCTGCCATTTTGCCATTTAATAAAATGATATATTATATATACTAGATTTCTAACTTATATCCAAAAAGTGAAACCGCTTTCGCCTCAATTAGAAATGGCTTCAACAACATAAACTATAATATTCTGTTCTTTTTACAAATGGCGGATTAGATTTGTAAACAAAAAAAGCGGATTCACTTTTTGTTATGTTAAATCGTGTCGTTTCACAGGTGAAACACTTATACTAATCCTAACTTATACTTAAAGTGTTATACTATTATCAGTTGAATAAGTTATTAATTGTATATTTTGTATTATTTCATTTTATTTCGTAAAGTGTGCATTACTATTTTGGAAGTCATTCATACGTGCTTACAAAAAATGTTTATATTATAAAAACCTTATTTCTACGCAAAAAACATTAAAATTATTTATTTAAATATCATATTCGCGTAGATTCTATGTATGTGAAAAGTCCCTTTTAACAAGGCACGGCCAACAGGGCTGCAGGTTCAAATCTTCATTTGGTGAACTTTCTTTATAATTTTAATATTTTATTTCTAAGTAGTTTTATTTTTTTTAGATATTATTATTGTTTATTTATAGATATGTTTACTACTTTTTTTTATTTTTCAAAGTTTCATAGAATAAGGAATACAAGAAGCGTACTTGAAATTTGAAGTCATACTTAAAATATGAAATTCAACTTGAGTGAATGTGTAGAGAAAACTTAAACTCATGTTATACTTAAAAACTGACCGTTTTCAAATTAAACTTTATAATGTTACTTAAAAATGCAAAAAATCGTTAAAAAGTTAATTTGAAGTCTAACTTGAGAAGGTCAGGCTTCAAAGTTCAAGTTGAACTTTGAAGCCTAACCTTTCGGTAAACTCAAGATTATTTCATGCATTGCGCTTTTAGTGCATCAATCCGTACATAAATCGACTAATTTTGATGTAGTCGCAGAAAAGTATACACCCTCTGATTTAAATAGGAATGGGAACAGTAGAGTAGTACAAACATCGACTGAGTTTAATAGAGCGCAGAGGAGTGTATATACATTGACTGAGTGTTTAGGTTTGGACTGGCATACTTTAAAATAAAAAAAAAGGTATTTCAATATTTACATTTATTTATATTCAATATAAGTTAGTTTAATTTACAAAAAAAAATCATTAAATAATTGATAAAAATTTATGTTTAAATACGCACGTATAACTAAGAAAAAGTTAGTTTTACGCGCGTACAAATAATGCCTACCTTACAATTTATTATGTATGTTTTATAATAGGTTTTAATACGAGTGAGGTATTTCTCAAGTATTATTTTTTAAACTAGACGAGGAAAACATAAACATGTTTCAACAAGCTGTGTTATGCTACATTGCTGGGTCTATTGTTCGTGATTTGTTACACACTAGATAATCACTCTGACCATGACCATTTTAATTAATTGAACATGTTGTTCAATTAATTCAAAAAATTGCTGCTACATTTTTAAACATTAGACTCAAAATTATGGTAAAAAATATTACCGCCAAGTTATTTAAAGGTTCAAAGCAGATCTTCGACAGAAGTCATTTTACAAAATGTTTCATCTTTTACTTATTTATTTTAGGAAATCTTGTTAAAATGCGTCTTTTTGTTAAAAGGTTTTAAAAATTTACAGATTTTGATTCATGTCTACTTTTAAGTAAATTCTTTTTAAATTTACTTTTTGTTACTAAACTAATCCCGGTGGAAAGTCGGCTAGCGAATAGCTAGCTTTAATCGTAACGATAAAGACAGCGATATGGGCACGAGGATCGCTAGCTTTTTTAAGTTAGCGAAAAGCTATCGATATTTGTAAAGATAAAGACATCGATTTGGCTACGAGGACAGCTAGCTTAATAAGCTAAAAACCCACTGGTTGTAGCTCAAGTCATATGGTAATAAAATCGCTGTCTAAAAAATTTTGATATGTAGCTAACAACCAGCTATAGATTTGTAGATATTTTGTAGCTAGCTACAAAGCTATGATATCTAGCTAGCGACACATTTCTACAATATCGCAATGTTTAAAGTTCAATTATTCTCATAATTATAATAAACTCAACACTAAGAATCGAATTTTTTAAAGATGTTAAAGACATTAAGAAAAAAAAAAATAAGAAAAAAAAACATTTAACGGATCCCAAATATCATCAATATTTCAAATGTTTGGTAATCAAATAAAATTATATAAAAATGGGAAATATATTAGTCATTTATATATATATATATATATATATATATATATATATATATATATATATATATATATATATATATATATATATATATATATATATATATATATATATATATATATATATATATATATATATATATATGAAAATATAGTAAAGCCTAATTTTCTATAGATGCTTAATTAATCAAATTTCAGGACTAATCATTAATTAAATAAATAGTTCTATATGCTTTTATAGGCGCGTCTTATGTTTTTGCCATACCTCAAAATGGCGGACGCTGGCTTCGCTAAATTATACGCGAGTCATGGATCTAGTTATATTATTACGTCATTAATTTTAACATTTTAACAATTTTATTGTTCTCAACAATTTATATATTAAAATAATATAAATATTCGATTTACTCGTAAAAATGATAAAATAATCATTTGTATTAAATAAATTTTTGCAATGTTTTTATTTACTGTTTTTTTTTTAAACTAGCCTACTAGCTTGACTGTACAAAATTCGTTGGTTTTTGAACTTTTAAAAAATATTTTTGAACATCATTGACTAATTAAAGTAATAGTTTTCTTTCGTTATTGAATAAATTTTGAGGTATAGAAATACTTTCTTTGTACTTTCGCTTGTCTCAAACGAGACAGTTCACCTAAAACATTTTTAAAACTATAATACTGCGTAATGTTTTATAAATAAACAACAAAAAAATACAGCTAATGACAGCGCTATTAGAAAAACAGTAAAAATTGTTAGATCTGGTTCTGTATGATTAAAGTTTGTAAGAGTACCTTCTATTTGATTATAGTTTTTATTTAAAGTCGTAGATTTTTTTGACGTTGTAGAGTTTTCCACATTAAACGAGGTTACAGTTTTGGCTAGATTTCTTTTTGTTGCTAAAAGCAATGTTTTATACACTGTATTAATAATTGGTTGCATTCTATTAACCCATGGTTGCACCGTGGTTGCAGAAGATTGCAGAACTTTTATACTACAGTTATACCGCAAGTTAATTTTATCAACATCTCCGGGACTTAGTCCAGATTTACTACCCAAGAATGTTTTGTAATCGTGATTGTTATAGATAGTCATATATTTTTTACTGAAATCAATTTCTTGTGTTTGACTATGATATTTTTGTTGAATACTTTGGTTTAGATATTTTGAATAATCAAAGCTAAAAAAAATCAAAAAAATTTAAAACAATAAAAAAAAAACATCAAATAAAAAAATTATAGTTATTTACAGATTGTAATTTAGTTAGTATAACTTTGTTATTATTTATACCCACATACATACATACATACATACATACATACATACATACATACATACATACATACATACATACATACATACATACATACATACATACATACATACATACATACATACATACATACTTACATACATACATACATACATACATACATACATACATACATACATACATACATACATACATACATACATACATACATACATACATACATACATACATACATACTTACATACATACATACATACATACATACATACATACATACATACATACATACATACATACATACATACATACATACATACATACATACATACATACATACATACATACATACATACATACATACATACATACATACATACATACATACATACATACATACATACATACATACATACTCAAATATAGACCAAATGAGAGGGGGGTGATGGACGGGAAAGATTCGCCGTGTTTGTACAACTAATATCTTTTTTTGTCATTTAAAACTATAAAATAAATGATACAATTTTATTTCAACTTATATCTAAGTTTAACAAGATCTTTTTACCCTGAGCCCCAGAAAATTTTTCTGTTGCTTGTACATACAATAATCATATTTTATTGATGCTTTATTATGGTTTTACCACAACTATTACGTATACCTGAGGCATTAAACAATCTAAAAATTGAGTCTATTTTAAATAAGAATTATCATTAATAAAATAAGAAACATTTAATATAACTTCAATGTTTCGGTTATGCAAAATGTATTTTACACAAGGCACATTAATGAAAGGAATCACTATAGAGTAAAATTGATTTCCTAATAGTTTATACAAACTGTTTTCTGCAATATTTTATTAAAGCAAATTAATTAATTGACAATATAATGAGAACATCAAAATTAATTAACAAAATAATGAGAACATGAAGCCTATGTTTAACAATGTTTATTCCAGATGACTTTTGTTTGTCATTTTTGATCGCATGAAATTTTTTATAATTTTCGTCTAACAAAATCTGTGACAGGAAGAGTTTAGCAAGAGTTGAGTAGATTTAATTCAGAGAGACCTGATCACCAGGATATTGATGCATACCCAGTGGGCACCGAACCTAAGAAAGACAGCTACGGAACTTTTTACTATTTTTTCTCAACATTTTGTGTTTAAGCTTTTTAAGGCGAAAGTTTTTTTTTCTTAAGAGATTGTTAATGATAAGTTTAATTTGATACTCATTTTCTAAAACACATAAGAATTGTTTTAGCTTAAAATATGTTAGAGTACCCGTTGTCCCAGCTTTTGAGTACAGTTGTCCCAGCTTTTTATAAAAACTAGTAAAAAAACTAAAAATGTTTTCTATAATTGACTTCTTCTGAAAAAAAGACGAAACTTTTGGAGTATCTTTAGTTAAAGAAATTTTTTGTTCATTGGCTTTTTTATTCCATGTTTTTGATTAATTTGAATTCTTTTTAATGGTTAAATTCTTCTGTGATTATGAATAATATATGGACTGGACTATGAATTTTCTTTGTGTGACAAGACCTAATTTTAAAAGTGAATTATTCTATTTATAATTATATATGTAAACGGAAATTAAAAAATAGTTTTTTGAAAATAAAAATTTAATAGTTAAATATTTATGTGCAAACATTTTTATTTTGCATCTTGTTAAATCTTTATTTATAAATGGAATATTTCACTTTTTATTCCATGTTTTTTTTTTCTTCGTAATTTCATGTTTTTACTCCATGTTTTTATTCCATGTTTACTCATGTTTACTACATATTTTACTTCGTATTTTTACTCCATGTTTTAACTTGTAGTTAAAAATGTAGTTATTCTAAATAAATAATGTATTTATGTAATTAAAATAATGTAATTAAATAAAATAATGAAGTTATTCTAATTAAAAAACTGCAGTTGCTAATTTATTATATAAAAGCTGGGTTTTTTTCCATTAATTTTACCAATTTATATATATTAATTAATACCATTAATTTCTTGAATACCGTAATAGTATAAATTAAGTAAGTATTTTAAAAAATAACACGATATTTTTAAATCTTGACATGTTTCGTAATTTCGCATTACATTAATTTCGCATCAAATTTTTTATGAGCAATCAACCCGATAATTTTAAAATCAATAATAAGTTTATGATTTATTATATATGTATATATTAAATTGGACCGAGAAACTCTGAGCAAAAATTACAGCGATAACAATAATTACCCAACTTTCTTTTGCATGTCAAATGACTTACAAAAGCAAGTTTTCCCAAATGTTTATAAAAATAAATAATTATTAATAATTGAAGTAATATAACATGTATATAATATAATATGTATAACAAACACCGTTGTTTGTTTAAAACTAAAATCAAAACCTGTCAAATAAATAAATTAACTTTTTTCAACTTTTTATTTTTTATATTTTAATATTTGTTACGTAAGTAATATTAATTCAATTATTAATAATTATTTGGTTATTATTAGTTAATAAAATTTATTATGCTAAAATTGTAAAACTGTTAATACTTGCAAATTGTAAATTTCTTCAATAATTAATATTTGTATTTCAAAAAATAATTTTTTTAGTTTTAACTTTATAACCGTTTTATTAGAAAGTAAAATAACAAAACAAAAACAACAACATACTTTCCGAAATGCATGACACTGTTAATATCATATGGTGTATATTGGGTTGTCCAGTTGATTTGATGACGAATAAATTCATGTTCAAAGCCTTTTAAACCATATTAAAAAATATATTTGATATATATTTTAAAAAAATAATCATTAAATTTTTGCAATAAAAAAAAATATTTAACATAAAATTTAGAAATGTTATCATTTTATGATATTATGTTGAATACAATCGATTGTTTTTAAAAATGAATAAAACATATTTTAGTTTGTGGTTAATAGTTTATTTTTTTATGCATTTGTTTTGATAATTTTTGTACATTTAGGTTCAAAATTCTTCTAAACAAAGTTGCTCCAAATCCAAAAAAATCAAATCAAATATATTTAAAATATTTAATACTATTTTTTATACTGAATTTAATTTATATATACAAATGTTTTTAATAAAAACTAAAACAACATTTTGATTTAAATTAAATCAAAAGGTTGTTTTAGTTTTTATTAAAACCATTTACATAAATTACAATTTAACTTATCAGTTTGTTTAAATCATTTAAACAAACTTATTGAGATAAGGTTTTTCATTTAAACAAACTTGTTGAGTTTGAGTCAAGTTTTTAATCACACCTTGTTAAGATAAAATTGAGAACTTGAAAGTTGTATTTAAAAAGTAAAATGTAATTGAGAAGATAAAAGTTATAATTGAGAAACGTAAGATGTAATTTAAAACATAAAAGTTGTAAATAAGAAATCATAAAATGTAATCGAGAACATAATAGTTGTAATTAAAAAAAGTTTACGATATAGATTTCAGAATAAATTTCTTTGTTTTTTTTATTTTTAATTTTGTTGCTTTATTTTGTTGCTTTAATATTGGATCCTAATTTGGTCAAGGTGACCATTAAATCAATATGGATTGGTTTTCAATAAATAATAATATATTATTAAAATATTATTATTAAAATAAAAAAATTCGTGAAAAAGGCATTTCTGGTTCTGGTTGTAACTGGAAAAATCAATTGAGAATTCAAATGAATAATAAATAAAACACAAAAAATTTATTGACAAAAAAATATAATTATTAAAATTGAATTTAAACAATGTCATTAAAAATAATTGCAATATTAATTAAACACCAATTTGGACGTCTTCCATAAATCTCTTCCCATTATTTTTGCTGCAGTAACAATTCTTTTAAAATATTGCATTCTTTGTTCTACAATCCAAGCACCAAATGTAGGTAGAATGCGATTCGCATTTTTAACGTTCCCTTTGAATTACATTACTTACATTGCGAATTCGCAATTAAAAATTATGTATTATCATTTACGTATTAAGATTTCTTGATTGCAATTTATGTATTCTTAAATGCATGATGCGATTTCTAATTTACATGTTGTGTTTCTCAATTACATATTGCAATTTTTTAAGTACACCTTACATTATTTCAAATTACATCTTGAAAAGGTGTAGATCTTTAAAAGACTCTCTAAAAGGTTTAACAGTATTTTTTTCTTTTCATTGGCATTTTTCGTTTTACCGATATTAAGCTGTTGTAAAATCTTTTGGATTCGACAACTCTGAGTTTATCAAACTACCTATTATCAGGTATTATATTAATTTCACTTAATGGATTTATAAAGTAATTAAATATGACAGTTGTTCCTAATTCTACTCTCTAGCGCTTTGTATTATTAGCGAATCTTACAGTGAGATCTGCATGTTGTGTCAATTGACAAGTTATTGTATAATAACTAAGCATCGGCGAATAGTTTTTCCATTAAACGAATAGCAAATAGCGAATAGTAATTTGTTAAACTACCGGTACCGAAGTTTTACAAATATTTGCAATTTGACTTCGTTTAACTTTGCTAATCAAAGTTAAACGAAGTTTAACTTTGATTAGCAAAGTTTGATTAATAATAACACCTTTTTTTTTTGTCTAAATACTTTTCTATCATGCATAAATCATATGAATCCACAGGAATACTGAACTAGGATGATTTTATTGCATAAGTCTTTGACATATCTTCTTTTATCAATGTAAATATTGGCTGTCCACCATACTTTTTAGGATAGGCGTGTTTAATGTTAATCTTTAATGTTGATCTGTTATATTTTGTATTTTTACGATGTTTTTCTTTGAGTTAATAAATTATTTTTAAAGTCTTTTATTGCATTGTTTAAAAATATAGATAATATATTTTCTGATTCCATTTGACTTATAAGGATGTCACAAAGGCTTAAATCAAGCTATTTAAGTTAAAGTAAATAACTAATAATTTTCCCGCAATTTTCCACAAAACTTTAGTTTCCAAAAGGCAGGGAGTAATATTATTTTTGAACGACACATTTTTCTAAGGTTTTCCTTCAGCTTTTCATTATTTTTATCATTTTGATTTTATAGTTCTGAGGTCTTTATCCAATTAATTGATTTTCTACTTACAATAACAGTAGGAAAACTTACATCTATAAGTCTAAATATTAAAACTGTTGTTATCAAGCAAAACTAAATGAGAAAAAAATTATTACGAAAATAATGGTGGTATAAAATCTTAATGTGAATTTGGACTGAAAAGATCAAATAAAAAAAAATCAATAAGTTTTATATCGTTAGCTCAGTCGGCTTATGATTTGAATTAAGTTTTTATAAATTCTTTCAACAACAGCTAGAATTATAACTTTTTTTGTTCTAGTATTCTTTTCATTTCTTGTACTTCCATAAAGATCTTTTGTATCAAAATCGTTGATTATAACCTTTAAAGAAACCTGACCGCCATCAATGTCAACTCTGATAACTATTTGTAGCGAATTTCTCTTTGAAAACAAATTTTGTTTACAAGAGCTATCAGTCCCGTAACAAAACCATTTCTTTTTAGATTTTCTCTGTCATATGTTATATTTTATTAATATGTTATTTTTCTACTTTACAAGTTCACTCAATTATACACTTTTGTTCAAGATTTCTTTTTGTTCTATCAAGCGTCTATCTAGTCTGTAGGACATTTATAGTTTAGATGCTTTGGGTGTGATACCTTTTCTACTGAGATCTTTCCTTAATTCTGTCATAATGTTTTTTACAGTCTTCTTCGGAAGATCATTATTATTTTTATTATTTAATATAGTGTCTTAGTCGGCATTTGGTCCTAATTGACGTTTAACATTTTAACTGTTTTTAACTGTTTAACATTTTTTCAAAACTCTGAACGTCTTTTTAGAATTCAAAAGATATTTTTTAGACTAAATGCTCGCTGGAGTTGAAAGATATTTATTGCAGAGGTATATTTTTACTGTAAAGCTCTTCAATCACTTATGTCTTTTTTCTCAAATATTATAAAGAAGCAGGAATTTTTTTTTCAAGTTCTCCATAATAAGCCTATCAATACAAAAATGAGATGTATATTTTAACAAAGTTCGGTAACTCTTTTTTTTAAGATTTTAGATTTAAATACTACCTTGGTTAAATTTTTTTTAGAAAATAGAATGGGAATTCATAATTTATATGTACCTGTTGCAAGTAAGATTTTACGTTCCTTTCCAATAAGTTCTTTTAGTAAACCAACAGAAATCTATTATGTTTGTTTTATTTCGCTGTTTTAATTTTTTAATAGTTTGCTTTCATTGTAACAGATCAAAAGCTTTCATAGTCTCAACAAATTATTCTGGAAAATTTGAGTTGATTTTAGTTGTTGTTTTAGAATCTTTAACTTTAGCAGAAGCTCTCATTCCCTTATATATATATATATATATATATATATATATATATATATATATATATATATATATATATATATATATATATATATATATATATATATATATATATATATATATATATATATATATATATATATATATATATATATATATATATTCTTACTTCCATTTTAATATTAGTTGCATAAGTGTTGTTTAGAACTAGGTAATTTTTATAGTATTTAAAGTTTCTATAAAAGTAAGAAAACTAGCTCTTTCGAAATAAAGAACTGTGCAATATGATTGGCAGAGACCAGGATGGTAGATGTTTATAGAGCTGAAACACACTGGTTCTACAAACTGTTACACCAATTCGCTCTGGGCCGGTTTAGAGTTCAAATACTGACATTTTATTTTTCTTTAGATAACAAAAACATATAATTTATTTGCTTTCTGAGTGATTCTGTTGCCTTTACTGATTGATTTTGAAGTACGATTTTTGAAAGTATTTTGAAGTTGTGGATTTGTGGATTTTCTATATTGTAGATAACCTATATAGTTTATAACATTTATTGTTCACTCTTGTATCACTGTAACACCTTTTACTTAAGTTAGTTAGGCTAAGGTTTTTATGTATTTTTACTTAAGATTTCTTGCGTGCGTGAATAATGTCAAAACCGAATTATTTGCTAGGCAATCATTAAAAATGTCTTTAATGAATTATAAAAATCATTAATTATGCCCAAATTATACTAATTGTTAATATACATATGGATACATATTCAATCATTCCAAAAGAGGAATAATAAGACGACACACAAAAATGAGTGAATTTCCCAATAATTTTAATAAACTTTAATTAAATAATGTTTAATAAACTTAAATAGACTTCATATATTATGAAAAATCTCAGAATGAAAATGCTGTACAACAAAAAAAACTTTATATGACGCAACGAAAATTTTTTAATTTAAATTTATGAAAGTTAAAATTACGTGCAATATAATATAAAAAACAGTATATAACAGTACCTATAAGTGAATTCTACAAAAGAGGTGTACAGACTTTAAACACATGAAAAAAGATTTGTGCATCTATACATGACTCGGCAGCTACAGTACCAGATAAATTAAGCGTGTGAGCGATACAAGGACTATATGGAGCTGCATTTTTTATTTCCAGAACACGTGTATTAATCTCCAGAATATTTTCTTGACATATTACTGCCCTTGTCATAGGTTGGTTTTCTGCAATCTTCAATATTAAATTGAATATCATGGAAAAAGCCTAAAATGAGTTCAAACAATGAAGACCAGTGTAAGATAAAACTAGAAAAATGTTCAAAAATTATTCAACTGTCTTAGCATTGCTCTGTATATAACTAAATGTGAAAGTTAGCCGATCAATATGAGAAATGTCTGTCATTGAATCAACACTCAAAGATATGTAGCAGCTTGAATTTCAGATGTCATTGTTTTCATGATTTTTCTAGCCATCACAGAATTCTTTGTATGATGTAAAAGAAAAACAAGATGTATAAGATACCGCGAACAGAATTTCTATTCTTGTCAATATGAGCAGCGGTGAACAAATCATACAAATTTACATTGACCAAAGTTTTTAAAACACTTTTGTTGATCTTTCCATTATCTTTATAATAATAAAAAAAAAAAAACATTTTCTGATCGGCTAATCACTACGTAACATTTTGCAGAATCGCAGAAAAAACTCCATTCGAACATTTCTCATAATCTTAATCTTGCTGGTGTTCATTAAATTTTCTTTGGAAATGAAGAATTATTTTTGCCGGGTTCAGTTGTTTTTCAATATTTTTAGCTCTATTCAATAGAAAATTTTGACCAAGAAAACTGATTTGTCTTTTCATCAGGTTGCATAAACCTGACAGAGTGCACGCATCAAGGCTGTGAAGTCGTTGGCTAAGGAACTCAAGGAAATCTTGTTGTATCTTTTCAAAAACTTTGTGGTCTTGATCTAAGTATTTTATCAATGAATGAAGTGAATCATAAAATGAATTTAACCATTTAAATTCATCAATAAACAGTTTGTCAGCAATAAACTCATGTCAGTGCCTTACTTCATTCAAAAAATATCTCCTTAGATAATGAAATAAAACATTTGAAAACTCTTTTTGAGAATTTCAGCAAAATGCGATCTTCTTGGCCCAACTTCATTAATGAAAGGCATTTGATTTACTCCGGTCTAACATATTTAAATTTTTAATAAAATTTTTTCCAAAAGAGGACAAGAAAAAAGAAGTTTTTTTATAAAAAAAAAACAGAACAAAACTTGTTTCCACAAAAATGAAGAAAAGTAGTTTGAGTTGAATTCATCACCGCTATCTATGCTCGTATTCATAATTTAAATTTCAAGGTGAAGAAAAACGACGAATATTTTCTTATTTTTATAATTCTCAGAATTTAATAGGAGGCCAAACAAAGAAAAAAATTTATAAAGAAAAAAATAGAGAAATGCAAATATTTATTTCAACAATCTATTTCAACAATGTGGAGGAAAATAATTTTCAACAATATTCCTAAGATGAGTGACCTTTCAATAGGCTTGGATAGCGCTAATATTTTTTTTAATCTTTTTTTTATTACATTTTAAATAAGCATTTTTGTTACAATATTTAAAATACAAATAAATAATAATAAAAATATATATATATATATATATATATATATATATATATATATATATATATATATATATATATATATATATATATATATATATATATATATATAATGATCGTTATTAAATAATAAAAGAACGAGGGTACACGTAGAAGACCATACGGTCTTGTCGTCGAGTACCGCTAAGAAATGTTCGTGTAAAAAATTATAAGATATTTACAAAATAAAAAAATAAGTAACGAAGTAAGAAACTTAAAATATTCCGTTACAAATACAAGATACAAACTTTCATTTCAAATAATAAAGGCTTGGCATTAGTATAACAGTCTTTAAAATATATAAGACGTGCTACATGCTTCTGCTGACAATAAAGAGGTTTAAGTTTATTTTTATTTGTACTACCTCAAACAATGTTTGCATAGTTTATGTGACAATGAATAAATGAGTGATATAATTGTACTAAAGTATGTACAATATTCCTTCATTTTTTGAAATTTTACTTGATAAGTTTTTAATGTGATTTTTCCATGTAAGATTTTCATCTATACAAACACCTATAATATAATCTAATAACACCTATAATATGAATCTAGATCGGCTAGAATGACCAACAATGAATCTAGCCGGCTCACCAATATTCTATTGGTGAGCCGGCTAGATTCATTGTTGGTCATTCTAGCCGATTAGAATGACCAACAATGAATTATGCTCAATGAATAATATATTATATTATTCCCATTGAGCATAATCATGGTCATTGGGAATAGTAGTTATTAAGATATAAACTGTTCTTTTTATTAAAAATAAATTTTCACTTTCAAAATAAACTGTTCAAATGTTCTTTAAATGGTTTAATTGTTTTAGATAAAAATATCAATCAAAAGGTATAAATACATACATACATACATACATGCATACATACATACATACATACATACATACATACATACATACATACATACATACATACATACATACATACATACATACATACATACATACATACATACATACATACATACATACATACATACATACATACATACATACTATATATATATATATATATATATATATATATATATATATATATATATATATATATATATATATATATATATATATATATATATATATATATATATATATATATATATATATAGATGCAATTTTATCTGTGACGTTTCATAAGCATCAAGTCAACAGTTAAAGAATAGTTTTATTTATTAAAATAAATTACCTTTTTGTACATTCGACATGTTTACAGTAATATAGATATCGCGATCAACTCTTTGATGTTCATGCTCAAAACCCAAAACGTGCAACAATTCATGTATCATAACCAATTTTTGAGTGCAACTATTTCCAAATTTCATGCTAGCTGATCCAGCTTGAACATAACCAATAGGAGTAAAACAGCTATTAATCAAACAAATTTAAGTTCAGGTTTTATTATACAAAATAACACTCTTAACATATATATGTATGTTTATATATATATATATATATATATATATATATATATATATATATATATATATATATATATATATATATATATATATATATATATATATATATATATATATATATATATATATATATATATATATATATATATATATATATATATATATATATATATATCAGGGGCGGATCCAGCATTTTTTGGTGTTTGAGATAGCTAACTTCCAGACATGGAGCAAACTCCAAACATTCATATGTTTATACTTATATCAAATAAGAATGGTTTGCAAAAAATTGCGATGATTGGAGCCTGGGAACAAAAAAGCCCTAAAATTTGAGACGTACCTGCCCCAAACGTGAGAGCAACAAGATGATATAATATTTTTTGTACTATTCTCAACAAGACTTATATTTATCCATAAATTTTAAATTTCATTGTAAAATATTTCAGCGTTCAAAAATTATGACCATGTAAAGTTTGAATCCCCCTCAATTCGAGGGGGTCACAATTTTTATATGGTCATAATTTTTAAGCGCTAAAATATTTTACTATGAAATTTAAAATTTATCAATAAATATAATTCTTGTTGAGAATAGTACAAAAAATATTTTATCAACTTGTTGCTCTCACGTTTGGGGCAGGTACGTCTCAAATTTTGGGGCTTTTTTGTTCCCAGGCTCCAATCATCGCAATTTTTTGCAAACCATCCTTACTTGATATAAGTATAAACATGTAAATGTTTGGAGTTTGCTCCATGTCTGGAAGTATGCTATCTCAAACACCAAAAAATGCTGGATCCGCCCCTGTATATATATATATATATATATATATATATATATATATATATATATATATATATATATATATATATATATATATATATATATATATATATATATATATATATATATATATATATATATATATATATATATATATATATGTTACGTTACGAATGGTAAAAATCAAGGAAGTGCTAGTGCAACAACTGACACCCTGTTTTTTTTTTTTTACTTTTTCATCTCAAGTACTTTATATTGATAATATATTTAGTAACTAATTTTGACTATAGTTGAAATAAGCCATAGTAGAAATTATAGCAAATTTGTAATTATGAACACCCAATTTCTCATACCTCTCCAAAAAAAGTTGAAATGTTTACAGAATGGTACCATGGGGATGTTCATTCCCATGGTACCACATTGGGCAAGCGTACCACACTGTGCGAACGTATTCAAATAAAAAGTAAGAGATTTTGTTAGAACCGTTTTATTTAGTTTAACCAACATTATTTTGATTAAAAAATATGCAACAATGGTTTTAGTGTTTTTAAATTATATGCTGTAATTATATGTTTCATCTTATCTTTCTTGATTAAATAGTTTTAGTCACATAATTTGAAGTTTCTGCATCATCAAACATGTAATTTAACCAATAGTCTTAGCTGATCCACTTTTGATTATAAACTTTAGTATAAAATTTTGTACTTTATTTAAAGGTTATAACAGTCGAGCTTCTTAGGATCTCATCGTTTTTTTTTTAAAAAAAAACTATTTTTAAAATCTTTAAAAAGAAATTTTAATAAGATGACAATTAAATTTCTTGAAAATTATAATTACCACAACCAATTATTTGTAGGGGTCTTCCTCTACAACAAAGTTCTTACGCATGTATGGAAGAGGGGCTTACCCAAAAACGTACTTATGCAACAAGTTAGGAGGGTGTTAAAAACAGTGAGTACGTACGCTGTTTGACTACTTCTCGTTCTCTATTTTTCCTAAAACTTGATTTATATTTTTAAACAAAATCAATATCGTGATATGTAACAGAAATATGTCGAACTAACTAAAAAAAATTTTTTTGTTAATGTTTTAAAAATTTTATGTGTTAGGGAAGATTTTGTAATAAATATTTGCGTACATACACAGAGACGGGGTTTGCTAAATGCATACAGGTGCTTACAAGGAGGTGGGGATCTTAAATCAGTGATTTTACTACGTACAGGTTAATGGTCTCTAATCTTGTAGCAATGTTTAATTATGTAATAAAAGACTAAGTTGGTTATATTTTATATGCATATTCTAGTAATTTCTTTTTTTTGCTTTAAAAATTACAAAATAAAAAAATTTAAAAATTTATCAACACAAGCCAAGTGTTATTGTTTAAAGAATCAAAAAATTTGCTTCAACATTTAAGGTGGTTCCTATGTAATCAAAAAAAGTTACTTTCTATTCATTAAGCATTAATTTTCTCAAAAGTAGGTACAGAATTTTTAAAAAAATATATATTTTCGAACTCCAAAAATATATAGATGATCACATAGGGGCCTATAATAGTCCCTAAAAATAGAGTTTACTAGAAACACAATTACTTATGAGTAAAAGCTCATTTTACTTTCAAACTTGGTATACTTGTGCGTGTTACCTGTATCTAGTTTGTGAGTTTTTTTTATTAAAAGATCCTGTTTCTACTAAAAGTTATGCTTCAAAACAACTGTATTTTTAAAAAATCTGCTACTAGGCCTCTGATCTTAGTTCCCTAACCACAACTTACAAATAATAAACTTATTTGAAAAAAACTCAGGCAATAGCAGTACACTTAATAAATAAGCCCTGAAAATTTCAAGTAGTTATCACTATTAATTCAAAAGTTATGATGTTTTTCAAGACAATTGTGAGACAATTTTCTTGAAAAACGATATCGTAGAAAATCAAAAAATAAGAGGAAAAATTTGTTTTTAAAACTAAAATCCTCCTTTTAAATAAGTTTCTCCTCCCTCTTTATGTGAGTATTTATCCAATAAACCCTTCTTGATGGCTTTTAGTTTTTTTCTTTTTGCTTTCGTCTTCTCTGATGTTTTGATAATAAAATTTTGGATGCTGCGTTGGCTCACTTTTTCGGATATAATATTAAAACAGACACCAGTCTGTATTCCAAGTTTTTCATACACTTTAACAAGTCCAAATGGATCTTCATTGAATTGAAGAATAGCACTATATACACCTAACTGTAGAATTGATCTTTCTACAAAGATTTGCTTAGGACATTTCATCCAGATAAGATTCAGGGACTCATTAGCATTTTGAGTTTCCCCGTGGATGCACTTGCGAAGAAGGTCATCATTTGAAAGATCTTGGAAAATCTTTGACAAGGTAGGAAACATCCACTCTGGTAAACTAATCCTCTCGGTGTTTTTTAAGTTTATTTTTCTTATAACTACACCACGATTCTTCTCCATGTGGACAAAACATGTAACGCTTATCTAAGTTAGAAAAGTTGGTGCAATGATGAAGGATACCACCTACCCACTTTTTCATTGTGTAAATTTTTTCATCGTTAGAGCAATTTAATTTTAGACTTATGAGCAATTTAATTTTAGGCAATACCATAATTTGTTATTGAATTAATGGAGTTGTTAGTCAATTTTTCTTTTTCACCAAATGGTGTAGAGGTATTTTTATATTCTTGTACTAGTGTCCTAAGTCGAGAACCTATTCTTTTGTTTACATGTCCAATACATTCAAGTTTAACAGGTGTAATACCAAACTGCGCTTCGTAGGGTTTGGAGTTAACAACTTCTTTGTAAGACGCTGTGCCTCCATCTCCAAGATACTCATTACAAACTAGTTTATTTCGACTTACAGATTGCTGAAATATATCAATAGCACCTGAGGCTTCCATTGCTCCTGATGACTTACAATGGTTAACTCTACAATTATGTGCAACTTTCCAATTTGCGTATTCTGTTGTCCCTTTTTTTCCACTCCATATTATACACTGTCTACAATGTTTTGATAAAACAATAACATCCAAACACTTTCCTTTGCTTACTGCTGTCACTACACCATTCAACGAAGAGTGTCCTCTTTTTTGCCAAGTTCCATCAATCGATACACGAAAAGATGGTATACCTGGAACAATTTCTTCCATTTTCGCTTCATTTGCAGCATTTTTCATACTTTCTATTGCAGAATTTTCATATGCAGAAAATAACTTAATATTAATATTTCTAATGGCAGTATTAGATATTGAGTGCATGTTCATACACCGTGCAAATGTTTTAATTGATTCATGCCCTTTACCATGCAAATGTTTTAATTGATTCATGCCCTTTACCAATTTCTCAAAATGCCATAACCAATTGAATATTGATTTCACTCGGCTTACAACCATACATTTTTTCAGAAGCACTAAAAGGTGAAGTATACTTTTATTTTTACATTTTTTTACAAAAGTAAACAATTTTATGAGAAAATCCCTTTCTATCATCCAAATTATTAGATATTGTGACATTGGCTTCCCCACATTCTTGACATTGGTTTCCAACTGCTATCATTTCCATGAGTATTTTAAAATTTATAAATAAAAAATAATCATCAATACTTCTAGAATGTTCAGCTGGTTTAATGGTAAACTCTTTTTTGGTGATATTTTCAATATTTACATTTTTTTTATTTCCATTGATATCACATTTATCATTTACAATATGTACAGATTTTCTACAACCACGACCACCAACACCCTTTCTTGATGACTTTCTTTTGTTATTTCGAAGGTTAGCCATATTAATTCTTTATTATTTTACTAGAATCTAACTAAGATGTTAAATAATTTCAACAAACACATTAGAAAACAGTAAAAAGAAAAAAAATATTTCTTATAAAAAAGCCTGCCTGCAGTTTGCACTCTGCAACAGCTTAACTTATAATGATTAAATATTTAACAACTTGGACGTACATGGCAACATTAGAATAGCAAAAGAGATGTACTACTTTAAGTTTTAAAGTTCATTTAAGATAATAACTAAAAAAATAAAACGGTTGCTATGGCCGTTGCTAGGCAGTGAAATTATACCTACCTGTATAAAATTGTAAATATTGTAAAAAGCATAAACAAACTTGAAAAAAAAATTATACCACGAGAAAGAGCGTTAAATTTTACATTAGAATATCCAATTTGCCAAAAAATCAATTTTTGAAAAAATTTTGACTTTTGATTATGTAGGAACCACCTTAAGGATTTTTTTTTATCTTATTTTTTTATAAATTGTTTTTTCTATTAAAACATTTTATGTGTATTAAACTGTTTCTTTTATTTGCTATAACAGACCAAGTTGTTCGTTCATATGCTCATTTAAGAAACTTTTTGATAACTTAAAAAGTTTAATCAAGTCTTATTTCAACAGGTTCCATAACTTTTCATTAGTATCAAGTTTGATTTCAACAGACTTCCTTTTTTTTTTTGAAAATTTTTTTTCAGGATTTGCTATTTGCATTTTGTAATAGAAATTATAAGAACATTTTTAGTAACAAAATGCATTGTAAAAATTTAAAAAATGTTAAATAAACTTTTTGGAACTTAACCAAATAACATTAAATTGACATTTCATGAAGTTGACAACGCGTCAAATAAGAAGAAAAAATTACATGTTTTACGGTTCTGAACAATATACCAGTCGATACAAAAAAGGTTTTCAACTTTTGGATTATCCAATTAATACTTTAGTTAATATTAATACTTTTATGTTACTAACTGTAAAAATGACTTTATGTTTATCAATCAACAATTTTTCTTTATCATATTTTTATATTAAAATAAACTCTAATTATATCGTGATATTTTTTTCAAAAATGATTCTTTTGCAGATTATGAATGGCCAACTTTAGTGACATTGTCTTCTTCAGAAACACGTGAGCTACTGAACTATGACTTGAACTATCAAGACGTGAACTACCAAGCCTTTTAATAAGTTGTATTTTTTCTTAAGCTTATTGCAGAAAACTTTTTAAAATTTGGAAGTTTTCTTTAGTTTTCCGAAAATTTATAAAAAGCGCACTTGATGAGTTTTTGAAATAAACAATTCAATTGATGGTCGACCAGCTTTTTTTTGATGTAATATATTATCAATTAACTGTATTTCTTATTGAACAAACTTTTAGTCAAGTTTTGTAGAAGTAAATACGCATGCGCATCATAAGAACTAGTTACAGTTAACAACTCAATATAGTTTTTTAAAAGCACCTACTTAATAAATAATCTTGCGGGATATCTTGCCTCGGTCACAAGTACTTGTGACTAATAATACACAAGTACTTGTGACTTACGATTAAAAAAACTGTAAACATTGTAATGACAACTTAAGTTGTTATTACAATTAAAAAAACTTACGATTAAAAAAACTGTAAACATTGTAATGACAACTTAAGTTGTTATTACAATGTTTACAGTTTTTTTAATCGTGTTGAAAAGATTTTCAATATCTTAAAAATAGAAATCACCCTGTTTTTACACGAAGTATTCGTAAAAATTTATCTAATACTTGTTAAAAATTCACTAGATGTAGTTTTGACTTTTTTTGATTAAATAAATGACATAAATTATTTTGTGATCAAAAAGTACTTACGGATAAACGTTCACTCTTTCTATAGTCAAAAAGAAATTTTCATTTGTTCTTGGAACAAATTTGATACAAGTCTTATTTTGAATGTGAGCCATTGCTTCCTTTACAATCATTTTTTCAATTTCAACTAAAATTGAAAATGTATATATAACTTTTTAGTTCTCCTATCTTTATACATATACTTTTTATCTTCACCTTTAACTATCTGTTCAGATATAAATAATGAGATAGTTCTGATTAATACAAAAAATTAAAATATTAACATTTTATATGACTTAACTGCCAACAGAACAAAAATATACAATATAGAAAAAGATTTAAAAGGAATAGAAATAATAGAAAGTCAAAACTTCCGAAAAGAAATAATAAAGGAAAAAAGAAAAAAGGAACTCCACCGTACACTTCAGACCAAGTTAAAACATAATCATAACGACTCTCTGCCATTTAATAAATAAGAAATAATGAAACCAATGAAGTTTCAAGCCACGAGCACCATATGCTTCAGGTTTTGATGTGGAATGATTCAAATGTTTTCAAAAAATCAAGTAAAACTACATCAACAGGAATTACTTGATCAATATTTCTTGCAATATAATTAAGAATTCCAAATAAATTAATAGTACACGGCCTTTAACAACCCGTGCGGTTGATTAATATCATTTTTATAAAGATATTTTTCTAAGTTGTTTTTTATCATACTTTGAGGAATTTCAAAAGTAATACAATGAAGAAATATAAGGTAGATTTAAGGTAGATATAAGATCTATAATTTTAAGAATTAGTCTTTTTACCTCTTCTTTATATTGTGAAGTTATATTTAATGAATTAAATTGACTTGGAACTTTTTTCAATTGACTCAAAAGTGTGATGCGAAGAGCAAAATGAGTAGTACAATTTTTCAAGATCGTGGATGTAACTTGTGAGATAGATGGATGTAACTTGTGAGATAGATGGATGTAACTTGTGAGATAGATGGATGTAACTTGTGAGATAGATGGATGTAACTTGTGAGATAGATGGATGTAACTTGTAAGATAGATGGATGTAACTTGTCGACTCCGTGATTGACCTCAAAAATTGTATCACAAAATAATCTAAAAATTTAAGATGTAAAGGAATTGCTTGGAAAAAAGCTGAAATGATTGAGAAAACATAATGAAAGATCTTTTTTCCAAAAAATGTTTGCAGCAAAATAATAACTTTTTCGGAATACATATATAAAAAAATAAAAATTTGTAAAGCATTTCCAATGAACAAAAAGAAAACAAACCAACAAAAAAAATATATTTAACAAGAGTTTTTTTTTCTGGAAAAGTTTTTTTTTTGTTAGCCTCTTTTTTGGGTCCTTTATAAATCAAACCAATTGTCAAACAAATTGTCAAACCAATTTTCAAACCAATTGTCAAATAAATTTTATCTTACCAACAGATCCAGAACGACCACATTGAATTTATGATATTGTACACTCTACTTGAAAATATTTAACAACTTTACCATATTTAAAATGTTTTCTTTTTAAAAAGTGTTTCACAGTTAAGGTTCCCATCAATACTTTTTCTTAAAAATTTTTAAAAATTTATCTTTAAAAGATTTTCGAAATCAAGCATTTATACATCAAAAATGCTGGTTAATATTGATTTCATTTAAGCTCGTCATATTCATGTCAAATTTAGGTTCTAAAGAGGTCAAAAAACAAACAATACAGCAGTTAGAGATAACAAAAAAAGTCTTTTAGCCCAAATCTTTTGTATTCATAGATAAATACTTAACATAAAAATAAATCTAAAATCAAGTTAATAAAACTTCATTCTGGAGAGGTGACTTTTAGTTCAATTTGCAAAACGGCTAAACAATTAATTTTACTCAGTTTTTAACAAAAGTTCCATAAACAGTCGTTGTCCACAATCAATTTATAATTTGATCGTTAAATTAAAAATTAAATTATAAAATATATATGAAGATTAAATTTTTTTTTTCCTCTTAACTATATTTTTGTCACGCCAGATGTCGCCTTACTGTTTACTTACAAACTCTTAATACCATTATGTCTATTGTTAGTCTATATTAGTTTAATTTTGAAAACTCTTTTTTCATCTAATATTAAATAACATAATATTGAGGTTAAAAATCTGTTTATTTAATTATTCTTTTAGACGTTAATAACCAATAAGCAGCTTTTTTTTTCTTCCAGTTAGTTGTTAAGGTGTTCCAAAAGTATAGTTCCAAAAGTATAGTTGTTTAGGTGTTCCAAAAGTATGGTCTTATCGCAACGCACCGTGGAGAAGCATTTAACTAGGAATTTCTATTTTTACATATGGGCCAGAGCCGACAACGAACCACGAACTTTTTGATCCTGAGCCAGAACTTTAATGCGCCACTGCTGCTACACCTACATGTTAAATTCTTTTAAAATGGTTTAAACTTTTCCTATCTCTTCAAAATCAATTGACGCCACTCCGCTTTTGAAAAAAAAGAGTCAAACAAGTTACCTCAAATGTCAGATTAATCTCACTCATATTTATACCTTACAAAAATTTTTGTCCAAAACTCATTGACCTTTAAGCATGTAGATAACCTCAAAGTAAATTACGCTGATTGTGAGTCATTTACTATTGAAATAATTAATAAAGCAATTAAAAATACATTTATAACAGCTTTATATAGACCGCCTAATGGTAATTACAATCAGTTTGAAAACCACATAAATTATTTGCTACCAAAGCTCATAAAAGCGGCGATGATTCGATAAAATCTAACTATAGACCAATTTCCATACTTTCCTGTTTTTCTAAAATACTAGACCGTATTATGCACAACAGACTGTACAATTATCTTGAAACTAATAACATTCTTTATCATAAACAGTTTGATTTTCGCAAAAACCATTCCACGGAGCATGCAGTAATTGATCTTGCGAACCAAATTCTAAATGGTTTTGAAAACAATAGTTACACTCTCGGAATATTTCTGGATCTATCCAAAGCCTTTGATACTGTCAACCACAAGATTCTTATCAACAAACTATGTAATTACGGATTAGCTCACTCTAACTTAAAGTGGCTGCAATGTTATTTAGAAAATCGTAAAAAAGTAGTACCATTTGATTTAACATGCTCCCCATTTGAGTCAATAAGTTGTGGAGTTCCACAAGGATCAATACTTGGACCTTTACTGTTTTTAATTTATATTAATGATATTTATTTGTCATCAAAAATACTTAATTATACTATTTTTGCTGACGATACTAATGTTTTCTATTCTGATTCAAATTTAAAAAGTATTTTTTGTAATGTAAACACTGAACTAACATATCTCAATGAGTGGTTTATAGCAAATAAACTTTCGTTGAATATTGAAAAAATAAAATATATTTTGTTTGCTAAACCATCTAAATCCGAGAATCTTCCACTTACACTACCAGAACTAACTATTAACAATATTAAAATAAAAAAAAAGTGTTTTCAATGAAAATACTTGGAATAATTTTTGACGAACATTTAAATTGGAAAAGCCAAATAAAGCTAGTCGAGAACAAAGTCTCAAAGACTTTAGGGATAATGTATAAGACTAAACCTCTTTTGAACAAAATATGTTTAAAAAATTTATATTTTTCGTTTATACATAGTCATATTAACTATTGTAATATTGCCTGGGCAAACAATCACTCATCTTTCCTAAAAACTATTTACACAAAACAAAAGCAAGCAAGTCGATTAGTTTTGGGCATGGATAGATACGAAAGTGCCGAGCCGTTACTCAAGGAAATAAATGCCCTAAATGTATACAAACTAAACATCTACCATAACTTGTTATTTATGTTTAAACTTCAAAACGAATTAATTCGAAAATATTTTTATAAAAACTTCTCTCTTATTAATCATAAATATAAAACAAGACACTCAATAAATAATTACTACATCCCACTAACATTACTCAAAAAGTCTGACTTCTCAATTACATGTCGGGGACCACGCTTGTGGAACTCGGTTCTTGACGAAAATATGAAAAAAATAAAATCTATTGATATATTTAAAAGAGCTATAAAAAAACACTTACTAAATTTAAATAATACGTACATTCTTTCATTTTTTTAATTAAAAAAAATATATATATATATATATATATATGTATTTTGCGTGTGTATGTATATATATGTATATGTGTGTGTGTATGTGTATGTGTGTATATGTATATATATATATATGTATATGTATATATGTATGTGTATATATGTATATGTGTATATGTGTATGTGTGTATATGTATATGTATGTCTGTATGTATATATGTATGTGTGTATGTGTGTGTATGTATATGTGTATATGTATATATGTATATGTGTGTATGTATATGTATATATGTGTATATGTATATGTATATATATATATATATATATATATATATATATATATATATATATATATATATACATGTATGTATATGTGTGTGTATGTATATATGTATATGTGTGTATGTGTATGTGTGTATGTATATATGTATATGTGTATAAGTATATGTGTGTATGTGTATATGTGTATGTGTATATGTATGTGTGTATGTGTATATATATATATATATATATATATATATATATATATATATATATATATATATATATCCTTCTTATATATATTCTTCTTGTTTCTTTTTGTTTGTCTGTTTTAATTTTGTTTAAAAAAAAAAATATGAGTAGATGAACTTAAATCTATAAAATGTTCGGAATCTTTTTTAATTCAAAATATCTTATGTATATTTAAATATATATTATGAAGTTTATTAGATATGTATACGCATATGTATGGATTTGTAAATTATTTTTTCAAACTTTTTTATTTCTTATTATTTTCAAACTTTTTAGTTTTGTCAAACTTAAAAATTATTTTTTCAACTTTTTGATTTTTTCAAACTTTTTAACTTGTTTTTTTTTAAACTTTTTTTAATTTCACTCTTTTATATATTATTGAAAATTGTAAATTTTTTTTTATTTTTTTTATTTTCACCAAGGGGCTTGATGATAAGATATTTTGTCTTCTACTTGCCCCAGTCAGCTTGCATTTGTATAAATTTATTTGAATGTAAGGTTAACATTGTATAATGTGTCAAATGACGAAAAATAAAAATTAAAAAAAAAAATATATATATATATATAAAATTATCAAAAATTGAATTAAAAGTTATGCTGCAAAAAAAGAATTATAAATGTCAGTAAAATGTAAAATGAAGCTAAGTTCTCTTAAATGCAAATTAATGGTATTCAGAAAATCATTGGCGACACATAAAACATCCACTCTTTATAATACAATGTTCGAGGATAATGGTTTCCTTTATTTACTCGCTAAAACTGCTTCTAAACATGATAATAATGTCCAAATTACAAATAAATTGAATTAGAAAAATTACTCAAAACTTGTTCCAACCCAAGCAAATTTTGTACTTGGCGATGTGGTCACTCATAGTATTAGTCATAAAATTTTGTACTTGGCGATATTATGTGGTCACTCAAAGTGTTAGTCATAAAATTTTGTACTCGGCGATATTATGTGGTCACTCATAGTATTAGTCATAAAAACAGTTTTAATACTTTTTTTTAATTAATTTTTTTGATTGTTTTAAAATATATGTCCTCAGTTTGGAATCCATGCTGCAAATCTCACACCAAGCTTATTTGAAAAGGTCAAAAGAATGCATACGGAGCTTAATTATAAGAAGACGGGATGCAAAATGAAAAAAAGCAATTATGCCTCAAACTATACTTCAAAATTAACGCTGTCTGTAATTTGTTGTAACTCATAAGGTACCAATTCACTACGTCATTAGTGACCAATATACCAACTACAGTTTAACTTTAATTAGTATAATGGTTTTCAGATGAAAAAAAAAATTTGCAAAGTATATTAAATATATTTTGCGAGGTTTTTTTATTAATTTAAAATCCATTAATGTAAGTTTTACAAACGTAATGTATTATATATTATAAACGTAATGTTTTTTAAAAAATATAAACTTTAAAAAATATAACTTTACAAACAGTCTTAAGTAAATGTATATACGTATATCTGGGCGGAAGTTCTGTTATTTCACATGTTGTAATTTTTTATTTACATACAATTTTTATCTTTTAATTGAAAAAAAAAAGTTTAGATAAATAAGACGTTCCTTTTTATGATGTTTGTAAATTAAACATTTCATTGCAATATATTATTTTTGAATTTAATTTGTTATTTTTTTAATTTATCAGCAAGTTTATAAGGTTAAAAGCAAGAGAAACTGACTCTCACTCGAAGTGATTAAAAACCTTAAGGTTTATAATAAATAATGTTGGTTGAAAATAAGTTGGTTTGTAAACCAATTTGGTAAAGGTGCGTTATAACTATGAAACTTTAATATAAATGTTCAAAAATATTTTTAGATAAACCAAAAAAAAAAATTTTAATTTTTAGATTTTTAAAAATTTTTAAATAATGATACATAAATCCGTATCACCGAGTTAGATCTACAAAAAAATGCCAAGTTACCAAATTAAATCGCACGTTATTATTTTTTATTCCAACTATAAAACTTTGTTGAACAACCTTGTTTTTATATTGTGAAACTGTACAAAAGAAAATCCAAAGTAAAAAAAGTAAACTTCTTAGAAAATGAAAATCAATTTTATATTATTTTATTTATTTCAAAACTTACGAAGAGTATTGTTTGTATCAAACTCATACGGTACAATCCCATCCGGCCATTCTCTCGCACCAAACCAGTCACTTGATTCATTTTGAAGGGTTGAGCCTTTTAAGAGGTTTACTTGAGTTGTAATTTGAATTTTTTTACTTTTAAAATGTTCAACTATTTTAAAAATATATATATATTTCGTATCACTATTATTACATATAAGAATTGCGATTGCTTAACTACATACCGTGAAACAAGCATGCCAAAAAAGTCAAACAAAATAATCTTTTTTTTCTTGTATCAATCATATTAGAAATAATTTTTTATCAGAGATTTAAATACTTATTCGACTGTGATCATTTTAAAATGTTGTTAACAAAAACATATTTGTTATTATAGACTATTTAATTTTAAAATATTATAACTATAGAATAATTATTTTCTTTTAATGCTTTAATCCTAAATCTATTAATTTCAATTGATTGAAAAAAGAAAAAGCTAAAATAAATTTGCTTCTTACTTAATAAATAGATCCAATAAGTAACCACATGTTGCGATTATTATGGTAAATTACATTTTGAAAAATGGTTTACTGTTCTATGTTGTATGCGATTTGTATGTGATACAGCAACGTCAATAATTCAAAATTTTTTGAATTCTTTGTTACATAAATATTTCTAACTTTTTTGTGAGAGGAAGTAACTGAGAGAAAAATGACAATTTAATTTTAGGTTTTTCATACAATGAAAGAATCTTTAATTGATAAATTTAGACGAAAACAGGCTTTTTGATGGTTGACTTAAACAAGTTTCGAGATTTGTTGAACTTTTTTTTTTTTGAACTCGTACGCTTTTAAAAACGGTAGTAAACAATCAAAAAAAATCACAAATGATGTTCAAACTTTATGACCTTCTAAAATTAGCCCCCTCTCTGTCCTTGATATAATTATACATATTTGCTGGATTTTATTTTTTGAAGTTCTGAAAATACTGTACTTTAACGTCCATTTTATTTAATCAACAAAAAAATTTGTGTTATAACATAAATTGCAGAAATTAAGTAAATTTACTTGTCAAAATTTACTTAATTTATTTAATTTATATTTTACTTGAGTAAAGTAGAGTTTGTCACTGTTATTAACGAATTTTTTTAATTGATAAGTATTTTGGTAAAATGATCCATTTAATGCTTTTTTTCCAACATTGTGTGTATTTCGTATAATGTATTTCAAGCTTTTGTATGTTTTGAGTATTGTGTTAATTAACTTCTTTTTTTTTTTTTTTTTTTGAGTATTGTCTGTAGTTTTAAACTTTTTTTTTAAACACCAGCACCATAGTCCTTAAAAACTTTCATTTCAGACGAACATTTAAATTTCCAATTTAAATGTTCGTCAAAAATTATTAAAAAAAAATCGCGACTCCGACTCTAATAGTAAAACTTCTCGGTATTGCACGTGCATGTTCAAAACATTCAATTAACCTTATGTTCATACTAAACCTAAAAGAAAGTTTGATAAATTTGTTAAAAAATTTTTTAACTTATTGCGTAATATTTTTTAAAGAATTCAAAGAATTTTTCAAAAATTTTGCTTTGGAGTTGGAGTCGGAGTCGGAGTTGTACTCAAAAAATTTCAACTACTGGAGTCGGAATCGTTACATTTTTTTACTACTCCACACCCCTGGTTTTAACAAATTATTACTCTTTTTTTTCTTTTAAATCATCTCAAATTCTTGATAAAAATAAAGAAGACATAGATACTGAAAAATTGCTGTTTTGACCAATATTTTCAAATATTCCTTCAATTTCTTTTTAAAGACTGGAAATTATTTACTGAAAGTAATTGATAAATCAAAATTAGGTAAAAAGATTTTGTTCCAGTGATTAGGTGCACGATAAGCTTTATAGAACTGATTGAATATTGTTTGACAAAAAGGTTCATACAACAAGTTATCGTCTCTAAGTGCATACTTATTTTTTGTTTTTAAGGTAATAAAATCTTTAAAAATGTGTAATGACGGATTGTTTTACATTGAAACACAAAACATAATATTTTATTCACTTCATAAATATTTTAATACTTTTAAATAAAAACCTTTGCGAAAAACGATTTTCAAAACAAACTAAGTGTATTGTGTGTTTCTGGCGATTATAAAGAATACGCAACTTAATTTTGCTTGTACTTCCCCAAGCAATATTTGCATAGTTGCTATAGCTGTGTATAAACGAGTAATAGAGTTGGAATAAAATGTTTTTCTTCAAATAATTTCTTGACTTATATAGGATTCTCATTTTTACAGACTTAGTGCAAATGTAATCAACATACGGTTTCTATGTAACATTCTCATTAAGATAAATGCCAAGAAAAGTAATAAAAGTTTCTTTTTTTATTTCTAATTATTCAATAAGAACTTTTGACATGGGTGTTGGTAAAAACGTTATTTGATATAGGGTGAAACAAAATGTATTTTGTTTTATCAAAGCTAAATGTCAATTTTTACTTTTAAACCACTCAGATTTAAGTTCTTTATTCATATCAGAAGCTCATCAATTTTACTGTTTGATAAGAATAAATTTGCATCATCAGCAAACATAATACTCCAAAGATTAGCTGCTTTACTTAAATCATTAATATAAATTTAAAAACATAAGAGGACCTAGAATAGAGCCTTGTGGAATACAAGGTATTTTAACATAGTCACTTGGAAGGCCATTGTATCTTGTTCTAAGAATTTAGCAGTTTGTTAGAGGTAACAAAGTGCTTTCTATTTAATTTTCTTTTTTTTTTATTTTTTTAATTTAGGTTCCCAAAGAAGTCCTTACGGTCTTATCACAGAGCACCGTGGATAAGAATTTAATTGGAAGTTCACGGCTCCTTCCTAACCGATGTCGCAAAGCTAGCCCAGATGTGGGGTTTGAACCAAAGATCCTTTGTTTCTGAGGCAAGTGCGTTCTAAGCTTTCTTATGGTCGACGGTGTCGAATACTTTTGTATTTTTAGTGTAATATACTTTGAAAATTTAGTTTTAAGCTAGGGACAAGGGACTAGTAGCAAGGGACTAGCTACTTTTTCAAAAAAAGGTTGGCTTTTTGAAAAACAGTAAAACAATTTTAACGATTTGTTTACATTTTAGATAGTTGCTGACTGCAAATACACAACAATTTGTTGAGTTTACATTTTGGATAGTCGCTGATTGCAAACATGCAACTCTTCTTTTTGAATTTAAACATTTAACTTTTCTTTTTCATAATCAAAATACCTCATTCTTTTGTGCTTTAAAATGACCATCCTCTAAATGGAAAATTGTTAGTACTGATTTTTTTTTGTTAAGTTTACTTATTTATTACCAACCAATTTAGTTTTGTAAACTCAGTTCACGTTTTGCATGACATATTTACGATAGAGCGATGGCTTTTTTACAACTTTTTTTCCCTGTATCACAGTTTGATAAGCTTTTAGTAAAGATTAGATAAGGATTTATTAAAAATTAGAAAAAAAAATAAGAATTTTAATTAGGATAGAATTTTACTTTTTCAAGGTAAAATAAATAGATAGTATACTTCATAAAAAAATAAATAATATACTTCAAAAGATGTGACGTACAAAATGATTTAAATGATGTTAACCTTACATTCAAATAAATTTATACAATTGCAAGCTGACTGGGGCAAGTAGAAGACAGAATGTCTTATCATCAAGCCCCTTCATAAAAATAGAAAAAATAAAATAAAGTTTTACAACTTCCAATAATATTTAAAAGAGTGAAATTAAAAAAAAGTTTAAAAAAATAAATTAAAAAGTTTGAAAAAATAAAAAAGTTTTAAAAATAATTTTTAAGTTTGACAAAACTAAAAAGTTTGAAAATAATAAAAAATAAATAAGTTTAAACAAATAATTTACAAATCCGCACATATGCGTATACTTATCCATTAAACTTCGTAATATATATTCAAATATACAAAAGATATTTTGAATTGAAAAAGATTCCGAACATTTTATAGATTTAAATTCATCTATTCATATTTTTTTATAAAACAAAATTAAAACAGACAAACAAAAAGAAACAAGAAGAATATATATATAAATAAATATACAAGAAGGATATATATATATACAAGAAGGATATATATACATATATATATACAAGAAGGATATATATATATATATATATATATATATATATATATATATATATATATATATATATATATATATATATGTATATATATATATATATATATATATATATATATATATATATATATATATATATATATATATATATATATATATATATATATATATATGTATATATATATATGTATATATATATATATGTATATATATATATATATATAAATATATATATATATATATATATATATATATATATATATATATATATATATATATATATATATATATATATATATATATATATATATATATATATATATACATTGATTGTACGTTCACAGCACTGGTTGCTTTGGGCGATGTTGATTGGAGATTAGTATGTTTTTCAGCACTGCAGATAGTTCATTCAAATTTTCAGCGCGGAACAATGGACCGCTAAATCAATGGTCGGGTCATGAATAGGAAATGATTGAACAGATTTTATGCAGCCTGTTACGGGTTTCAAGCATCAGAATAAACGCAAGAAGGGATAAAATGGCTCGAGAGTTCCAACACACATTGCTGATGTTTAAGATCTGTTGAAACTTTATGAAGGATATCTCATTCATATTAGTATGGTGACGGAAGACACGAGTGAGATGATAAAGAAACATCATGTCGTCTCGCCATCCAACTGTTTGCTTAATCTCATTTTTACTGTTGCTAAAGGCTGATTTCAATTTATCATAATTGCTTATCACATCTTTTAAAAAGAAGTACTCTGTGTTTGGTGATTTAGGCAATCAATTAAGGTGGTTTACCACTAAAAAAAATCTATATTTTTATTTAAATTTGGTTTTTGAGATTTCTTTTGATTTAATTAAGTAATTCAACATAACTGTAAACGTTTCAGGAGTCTGTTTTAACATATCTTGAGTATTTTTTTTGAACAGCTTGAACATAGCAACGGCTCTTAGCAATACAAATTTGGGTTTTTTGTTTCCTCTGTTTCTTGGCCTTAGATTTATTCTTTTTGTTGAATTAAGTTAGATACGTATAAGTTTAGTAGCCAGCATAGTTTGACAGAAATATAAAATAAAACAGTGTGTAGAAGTTGTAATTTTTGTATGATTCATCAGATAATTTATCTTGTGATAATTTATTGTTGTGTTTGAAAAGCTTCGTGTTATTTATATTATTGAGTATAGTTCATCAGTTTTATATCATATATTTTAGAATACTTGAATA